TGCATCGTCACCAGGCCAGCCACTGGGCCATACGGGTACCCTGACATCCCATATAGCATCCTTCAATTCTGCTGCCCCCTTCCCAAGCCACGGAGCCAGCCAGGGAGAGGTCTGAGGGAAGGGAGAGACTTTTTCCCCCTTTCTCCTGCTCCCGAGGAACACAAAACCCCCTCCCCAGCGCAAGCCCAGCCCCAGCCATCCCTGCAGCTCTGTCAGCTCCGCCGGGCCCCCGGCACTTTGGGCAAAGCTCCATACCACTTCCAAACCCTCTCTGCAGATCTGACATCTCCACCAGCTCTTCCCTGCCCATGAACTCGCCACCCTGCTCCCTTCTGCCCCCCAACACACGCACCTCCAAGGCAATAGCCTCAAGGGATGTTTGGGCAATGGCGGCACGAGCAACACCGAGCCAAAGCCAGGTGCCACAAAGCTCTGCAGGTGCGGAGACAACCAAAGCATGAAGCCACCAGCCCAGGAAATCATCCCCATGGGTCCTAATCCCCCACTCCTACCACTTTTTCCAACGTTGGAAGCCTCCTAGCAAAGAGCACACAGCCACACCGGTGCCAAGGCCAGTGCACTCCCAGGGGACAGCCACGCTGCCCAGCACCTTCACTTTCATGAGCTTGTCGGTAAGAGCATAACCACAAGCACCCCAGATTGGAGCTCATTAGCCCCAAACCACACTGAGGCGCAAGACCAAGCCGCGCTATCGGCACAAACCCACCGGGTTAGCTCAGAAAGGCGCCAGCCCGGCAGCGGCAGGCAGCACGGTTTCCTGCCGGGTTGCCGGAGGGAGGCTTCCCACACCAAGAAACCAGCACAGCTCTCACCAAGGCGCTGAGCCCCCCCCCGGCACGGTACAGCCGGCTCCCTCGCGGGGAGATCACCGCTGACACGGAACTCCCGTGCCAGCAAGACGCCACAGAAAGGAGAAGGAGCGGGGAAGGCGGCGGAGGTGAAGGTGGGAGCTCGGTGCAGCGTGGGGATGCCAGCCGGAGCCTCGCCCTGCTGGGACAAGCGAGGGGGACGGGGAAGCCACTTCGTGAGGGCATTTCTATGATTCATCGCTTCTATTTCAGGGAGCAGGAGCGCTGGAGGTCGGGCTGCTGCCACAAAGGAGGGCTAGAAAGCCCAACGGGAGATTCCCAAATTAACGTAGGGAAGTGCTACTCAGGAGCTGGAATGAGAGCAAAGCAAGGCAGAGCGGAGACAAGCGGAGAGACGATGCTCTGCAGAGCTCCTCCGAGATTTCTGCTCCTAAATATACATTAGCAGCAACATCTCATCCTAGTGCTCTGACACCAGCAGGGCTTTTGTCCAGTCCTGCTTAAAACCATTTCAGTGAATATTAAAAAAAAAAAAAAAAAAAAAACCAACAAAAAAAAAAACCCACAAAACAAACAGCAGGAAAGGTTAGCTTGTCTGCTTTCTTCAAGATTAAATCGTCTGGGTACCTGAGACTTGGACCAAATTAAAGTGGGGTCCAACCCCACAGCGGCAGGGGCAGCGGGCAGCCCTGCACCGGAGCACAGGCACCTCTCCGGCCCCACCGCCCTGCCGGCGGGAGCAGCCGGGGAGGAGCAGTGCGGGGGCCAAAGGGCATTTCCCTCCCAGCCCGGGACCACCACGCCAGCGCTGTCAGGAAGCGAGACCCGCACCGCCCACGCCGCCACCACAGTCCCAAGGCATGGAAAACCCCGAGCAGACACCCTGGAGCTAAGCCCAGCCCCTGGAATGGGCTGCGATAAAATAACACACCCCAGCCTGGAAGCACGCGTGCCAACCAGGAGAGCAGGACCAAAAATACACCCCGTTACACTTGCCTGGGCGGCAAGTGATGCAGCACAGAGCATCCCCACGCAGGGTATCCCCACGCAGGGCTGGCTCACCCCACAGTGGGGCCACACCGCCGGCGAGACAGCACCACAGGCTTGTTTTGTTTTCCATGCACACACACATATATATACACACACACAAACATATAGCAGGAAACCTGCCATCAGAAACAAAGCCGGTGAAGCAATGGCGCAAGCACCAAATCCGCCCCAGGCCCTTTCATCCCATGCCAAAAAGGACATTTGCTCACGGTTTCACCTCGAAAGTGGCCACGCTGAGCTGGTCACAGCTGCTGCATGACCTGGATGGGGCTGCCCGCCTCGCCCCGGCCAACGCTCACGCACCCCAACTTCAAAAGAGCCTTTCATCAAAAAGCTATCAGCTTGCCCCACAAATGCCTGCAGCCCACCTGCTCGCTGCTGAAGAGGTGGCAAAGGGCTGCAGCATTCGTCCCCTGAGGCTGCAGGCTTCCCCACCCCGCAGCACAGCCAGAAACCTGGGTTTGGGATGGGAGATCACCCTTTGGGAAAGCAATCATCACTTCTGATAGCACAAAGCAGGAGTAGTGGGATGGAAAAACTAACCTTAAAAGGCAAAGACTGGACAGAGCATTAAGGACCAGCTTCTCCACTCCTTCGGGCAGCGAGTCCAGAGCACTGACGGATGCCGAGTCAGCACGGGCAGCTAGGCTACAAAGCTCAGCCCTCGTGGAAACAGCCAAAGCTGGGGTTTAAAACATGCCAATGAGCACAGGGGTGCACTCCTGGCACCCACAGACCCGCTTGCCATCCCCACTCCTGCATCACCAAGACCCCAGGGGGCTCAGATCACCGCTGCTGCTCCCCACCACCATGCACGCCCCGGGAGGAGCCCCACAGGGGTCCCAGGCACAGGGGTCTGCATCCCCAGGGCTAGGAAAGCATAGTTTGCCTTGGAGAGAAGCTGCTCTCGAGCTGCAAACCACCCCAAGAGCTTTACAGCCTTGCACTTTGCAAGGAAGGCTGGAAGAGTGAAGCAATGGGATTGAAAACCCCCACATAACCAACCCCCGAAATGGGAAATGGCATTTATGCACCTTTACCTGCAATCTCTCCAAGTCACTCACTGCTCTCAGCAATAGGAAACAGTCCGAGAAGGAACCGGCTCCATTTTCAAACACACGAGCTGCTAGGCTGCCAGTAATTAGCAAAGGAGAGAGAGGGGAAATTATCTGGGGGAGAGAAAAGCCCGCAGGCCACAGGAGAGTCAGCCTCACCATACAGCTGGTGTATTTTTAGGTTCCTCTGCCTGGGAAAAGCCTTGCAACAATGAGGAAAGGCTGGTGGTGGTACGGAGTTAGAGCTGCACTACATATGCAATCATCTGCAACAAGGCTAAACTTTAACTCCTTCCTTCACCACACACGGTCATTAAAAACTATTTGGCTGAGGCCTCTCCCTAGCAAGCGACTTAAATCATTACAAACCTTATCTACCCTGCCTGCACCACACCCTGATGAAATCAATGGCAAACTCTGAAGCAGCCCAGCTCCAATCTCCGTTACCATCGCCTGCATCAGGAATATCATCAGCATCTTCAGC